TGTTTCGTTGTGAAAGTGAAACTACTTTGTTTGGCCTTCCAAAAGAGGACGATATCTGCTTCGTCATGCCTGGAGTTGATCTGTGCTGGTCGCTGAGGAAATACTTCAACTTTGCGCTATGGATCGCCGGATCGGCTTTCACCGTGGACGAAGCGGAGTCCAGCCCGGGGTCGTCACATGTGGTTGCCACAAGCCCGCCTGCCGTGCCGTTCTCAAGCCCACCGGCCGCCGCTCACTCTAGCCTGCCGTGTGTCTTCCAAAAGAGGACACGACTAGAAATCAGTGGTTAAGTTGTATTTACAACACTGTTCCAGAACAGTTTAACCCAAATATTCAGATGTGTGCAGCACATTTTATGGAGGACTGTTTCCTGATCCTGGGAGAGTAGATTACAATGCCGGCTGTTCTGACTCACAGACTGTAAGTACGTTTTTTATATTTAAAGGATTTGCCACTGACGATTCAAACGCGAGTTTTGAGCAGTGCAGAGTAGCGTTTGTAGTTTGTCATTTCTCCGATCACAAATGCAGACATGGTTTTATGTTTATGACGCAATGCAACACGTAAAAAGTCCCCACTGGATGCAACAAATGCCTCGATTATAATGGGTTTTTTAATGTTTTTGTCTTGTGGCTCCGGCTGGGACAAGGCATCACAGTATGGTGAGGGGCATAACATTTCCTCTCACGCTTGAGGTATTCGGCCAATAACAACGCACAGGATAGCTGGCCAATCACAGCACACCTCGCTTTTCAGACCGATGATCTTTGTAAAAATCGATGCGTTTCAGAGAGGCGGGGCATAGAGGAGAAACAATAATGTACAGTATGTGGAAAATAATGTGTTTTTTTTTTTTTTACCTTAAACCGCATAAACACATTTCATTACACCAAATACATACAATAATGTTCTTTTTAGCAACATCATATGACCCCTTTAAAAAGTCATAACTCCGAAGGGAGTGGTGATGCACGAAAGCGGTGATGGAAAGTGTGTGAGAGGGGAGAGAGTGGAGGCGCGGACCGAAACCTGCACGCCAGAGACCGCCAGACATCCGCCTCAGAGACGAGCGCTGGACTCGGTCTGGATGAGGCGAGCTATGCGGGCGAGAGTGGAAAGATAACGCGGAGAATGAGACACTCCCTCATTAGGGAGCTGCGAATGAGGGCATGAAGCTACGACAGGTACGAAAGTGAGAGAGTACTGACAATGGGAAAGGTGAAAGACAAAATAATTATGCACATGGATCATAAGGCACACGATCTTGTACGTGTGTAATTGTACCTCACCTTTGTACGGTGTGTCTGGGACATATAATCACAGATACACATGACTCGAAAACATTACATGCCTTTGGGCTGGTTAAAGTGTGCTTCACTCGAATAGGTTTATAATGGCGCTAAATTACTTGGGAAAAGTAAAAGTTCACATTGCCACGGCCAAAAATCTTGCGAGAGCTCTTTTTTCCCCCATACCTGAATCATTACCTGAGTCACATTTTCCTTCAAAACTTTCATTTGGAGCTGGATTAAAAGAGCATGGTGCAATAGCGGCGTTGCATCAACATCATACAATCGGTGACTAAAGTATAGCTTGTTTTATTGTATTCAGTTAAATCAGGCTTATATTCCTCATATACGTTCACATCTAATCATCAAGGGTGTGTACTGACATTGATAGTGAACTTGCGGGTTTTAGTAGGGTACTCATTCTGCACATACCGAACAGGGCAATAACCTTATCAGATCCTTATCAGATACAGTCACGGTCAGTGCACAGGTGGAAGGGAAACCCTTCACAACAACTTTCATTTAAAATGTTCCTATTACATTTTAATAAAGCTTGACATAAAGCAAATTCATTTCAAATTGAATGAATAGCTTATTTTAGGTCTGTTTTAATAAATATTAAAATAATTATACATATTTAAAAGAGTATATTTTCGAATAAATAAATAACACCTAAAATAAGCACTTTTATATACATTTTTTAAATGTAATAAATTGTTATACTTTATATTTTTATATATTGCTTTATTATATATTTTATATATTATACAAAAATAGCATGCACATGCATGAAAATGATGGAATATCATCAAACATCAAACACTAAATTCTGGGGAATTAACCTAGAATTAATGTTTATTCATAAAATCGTGTTTGTCAGGTTAGGCGTGCCTCAGGGCTTCGTCCTGGGCCATTGCTTTTCCGATAATCATTCCCAGAAATAGCCTGAAATAAACACACCCCTAAGGTCAAACTCTATAAAAAAGATCCTTGGCTCTCCAAAACCATTAAGCAACTGTCAGAGGTGTCCAACAAAGCGCAAAGGCAACAGGAACGGAAACCATGACTCAGGTTACCCAGTCTTTTTCACGCAAGAGCTTGTCAAGCTCCAGCTCTCGTCCCTTCACCTCGCTCTCGCTCAGCGGTGGATACTCAATTGCCACTTTTCAGAACAAACCATTCTTTGAAAAATGTGCAATGTACGAAAAGGTGCATAAGCTAACAACTATATCATTGTTCTCTAGGAACTCGCAGTCCTTCGCGCTCAAATATCCTCCAGCAGCGTAAACGTAGAGGTTGACGCCGCACCTCACCAAGACCTGGCCCGCATCTTGGAGGAGATCCGACACCAGTATGAGGGCGCCATCGATAAGAACCGCAGAGAAATGGAGTCCTGGTACAAGGGCAAAGTAAGTGTTTGTTCTTATTCTTGATGGCTAAAACATACACGATCATTCAGACATTGACCTCAAATCTCTGTCCCCACAGTTCGACGAATTGAACAAGACGGTAACCACCAGACAAGAAGACATCACATTGTCCCGCAGTGAAATCAGCGAGCTTAGGAGGACGCTTCAGAGCCTGGAGATCGAACTACAGTCACAGCTCAGCTTGGTAAAAGTCTTTCTTTCTCTTTGCAATTCATACTAACTTTAATTTAATATTAAAAACATTTCTACAACCACTTGGGAGGAGACTTATTTTATCCAACATGCACAGTCACACCCCTAATTATTATTCTATGCTCAAGTTTCTACAAACTTTAATCAATAATGTTGAAAAAAATACATTTTGCAATAGCTGCCTCTAGAGCAGGGTTCCTCAAATCTTGCCCTGGAGGGCCAATGCGCTGCAGAGTTTAGCTCCAACCCGGACCAAACTCACCTACCTGTGATTTTCTAATGATCCTGAAGACATTGATTAGCTTGCTCAGGTGTGTTTGATTAGGGTTAGAGCTAAACTCTGCAGGAAAGTGGATCTCGTGGGCCAGATTTGAGGATCCCTGCTCTAGAGGGAGTCACTTACGCAATTTATTACGCACCCTCACCGTTCTTCTATGCGTTATGCTTTGACAGAAAGCAGCACTGGAAGGCACACTGGGAGAGACAGAGTCACGGTACAGCCTCCAGCTCAGCCAATTGCAGGCCGTCATTAACAGGCTGGAGGCGGAGCTTTCTCAGGTGCGCATGGACATCGAAAGACAGGGCAATGAATACAAACTGCTCCTGGACATCAAAACTAGACTAGAGTTGGAGATCGCGGAGTACAGGAGACTTCTGGATGGAGAGATAATGCAGTAAGTTTTTACAAATAAACAAATGAACGTTGTCTTTATAAAGATCACAAAAGTTGTACGATATTTATTTACATTTTTTGTTACAGGAGACAGACAGTCAAAGTTGTAGAGATTGTAACTCCTCCTCCCAAGCGTAAGTGTTTTTAAAGGGTGTCCTTTTTTGGGGGAAAAAATTTATTATACTACATGAACCAATTTAAATCATTTAAATTGAAATACAATTAAAATGTTGATAATTACATGCATTTGTGTAGCTTTTAACTTACAATGTTTCTTTATTTTTTCCTCTCCAGCCGAACCTGTGGTGACCAAGCGTGTTCGCACAGTAATCGAAGAGATGGTTGACGGAAAGGTTGTTTCTCGAACAGAGGATGTTGACATTGAGGTCATGACAAAGTAAAAACGACAGCAATGAGATCCATAAAGCTGGCATGAATTTTCAGCCTCAATACGGCTGATTAAATTATCCCTGTTCAACATCTCATGTGAAATGCCAAAAAATAAAATAAAAAGACAAGCTGCGAAATTAAATGTGTTTGTTCTTTCATTCCTGTATTAGTAGCAGGTCGATATTTATCAAAAACAACACCGAAAATAGAAGTTTGAGCTGTATTATATTTGATTTGACGTGTGTCACAAGCGCCAAAAGACGAGTCAGCTTAATTAAGCACAATTTCAAAAGGTACGCCAGTAAGAAACAAAACAGTTTGTACAAAAGACGTACTCGCTCTCTCACAAACGTACAAACACAACTGGGAGATATACAAACATGACATACAATTTCCTGTGTACTTTTCTGACATTTTAAAAACATACTAAAACAAAAATAACCACCATTATCTTTTCAGAACACTTTTAATATATAACATTGTATTTACAAGTATTTCACATATGACACTATGTAGTTAAGAGCCCCCCACCCCCACAGGTGTCTGTATTTGACAAAATGTTCAACATAAATAATTAAACGGCATATTTTCCCCCATCACACAATTACAGTATAAATTCTACAGTAGCACAGCTGACTACCACAGTCAGGTGCAAAGTGCTGTCCTTTTTGTTTTATTAGTTTTTTTGTTAAATACAAAAATACCACCACTTCCGACGCAAAGTCGGTAGTAAATTTCTAGCTGCTGCGCTATCATGACGTACACTGAAGCAAAATCGGCTCACATTCAAAACGGTGGGCGTGATTGGTCCTTAATGCCAAATAATTTGTGCAATGGCACCGCAAAACATTGTATGGGGGAAATGTTCATAAGTGTCATATTAAAAACGTTTTGCTCCATAATTCTTACATATTTTTTCTTTTCAGAATGCAGAAAATTAACTAAAAATGCGATAATTTATTGATCGTTAAATTTTGCACTTGCAGTGAATAAAACATTAAAGCGACCAATGAGCTCTGTAAATGCCATCATCTCTAAAGTCATAGCAAGAACTAAATGAACTATGACCACCTTTTGAGTATATTGCAGGTAATTGCTAACTGGTAACTAGTTAGAGAAGAGGAGATATGGATAAGCATAACCAATCATAAGCAGAATTTAAACCGGTATCTTCAGAGAGTGGAGCAGATAATTTTTCTCAATGAAAAACACAAAACTATTCATACAAGATGAACAACTAAAATCTGAAGATAATCGGTTTCTTACAGTAGAAGTTTTGAAAATTTGATCGTAAACATGGAAGAAAATGGGCAATTGTGAATATGTGATGATCTTTACGCTAACCAGAGAGAACGCTAGACTAAATCGTACATTAAACATTTAATTTGCGTCCATACTTATCAATTGAGAATCCAGTTTCTGCCAACGAAAGCTAATGTGAAATTCACAGCTTTATTTTCTAAATAAAATGCTTCAAAGAAAGGAAAACATGGATCTGAAAGAAGAACAGCTGCCTGATGCATATTTAATGATACAAATGCCAGCTGGTTGCGAATATGTGATGATCTTTACGCTAACCAGAGAGAACGCTAGACTAAATCGTACATTAAACATTTAATTTGCATCCATACTTATCAATTGAGAATCCAGTTTCTGCCAACGAAAGCTAATGTGAAATTCACAGCTTTATTTTCTAAATAAAATGCTTCAAAGAAAGGAAAACATGGATCTGAAAGAAGAACAGCTGCCTGATGCATATTTAATGATACAAATGCGTTACGTACTACACGTAGCCTTGCAATAAATATCGATTAGCCAAAGCGACACACCAATCAGTTTTAGAGGCAAACAGCTGTGAAATTTGGCAGCAAGAAACATCTTTACAATGGCTCATTTTCAACGCAGCTGGTGGCCTGTTAATTTCGCTAAATTTAGAGAGAACTACCATGGAAACTTTATCAAGTAACGAAAGTACTTTACGAAAGACTATCTTTAAAGTGCCAGGGTAAAAACTAATTAAATGTGTATCGTTAAAAGCTTTGTTTTTGTTCGACAATTAAAAAAATAAAAAGTATGTTAACGATTTTAACTTATGTTTCAAACATAAACGTTAAAACAATATTCGTTTACAGTATACAGTGACAGTCGGGAAAAGGGAAGAGAATGGGCCGAGCACCTGTTGCTTTCAAGTTCACGGTTAAAAATCCCCCAAAAACAAATAAATAAAACATAAAACGTGCTGTCGTTAGTTGCAAGAGTTAATTCTGACATGGACTGTGGCTCATTTCAGCTTTTGGCACAAAAGCAAAAGCAAATTTCTTTCTCTAACCCAAATAATTAACATTATTAACAGTACCTAACTCATCAGTAACCTGATATTTAGTTTGTTTGTTTTTACAAAAAATCCTTAAGTCATTGTTTGTCGCTGTAAAGTGCAATAGTGCTTTTTCGTCTGTATTCTAGCTTGCAGGCGGTCATGTCCGCTGCCTTCCAGCAGGGGGCGACATCGAGCTGAGCGCAGATCTCACTGGCAGTAGTTGAAAATCACAGAAGAACCTCCGAAACGTTGAAGGACGGCGTTCATTCTTCCTTTTCGACTGGAGGCTCAGTCTCGCACGGCTTTACGATCTCCTCATCGTAAACTTTCAGAATCGCTTCACAGACAAAACGGTACTGGCTCTGAAAACAAACAAAATGGATGTCAAGTGACTCAGATGTTTAATGAATAAACAAAACTGCATTTACGCACAAACGCAATAAGATTAGCTTTTACGCAATCTTTGAAAGTCTGTTTTCCCAACATGAAAGAACTAGTCGTTGGATTAACCAAAATTTGCAACGTTTTTAGTGTCGAATCTTAGATATTTTTAGATACTTAATAGGAAGTAAACTAAATAGTTCCTGTAGTTCATAGTAGAACTCAAAATTGTTTTGCGGGAAAAATATCAATACACAAGGGAAGAATTAATCGTTCGATTACTTTGCAAAGTTTGTAGCATGGAATCTTAGATATTTATAAACTTTGTTTGAGTTACTTAATAGTAATTCAACTAAATTGTTCCTGTAGCTCATGACATAACTATAAATTACTTTGGGGGAAAAGCATTTGCCATACTGTAAATGCGCATCTGAACGTGAAGTTAACAGTAGCGGATCAATTCAACGCAACTCAATTAACTGGTTTGACGCGGTTTTTAGAGAGTCTGTCTGTATTAATCTACTGCTATAAATTGTTTTTGGAAAAAGCTTTTGCATTTAAATGCGCATCTACATACTAAACGTAACATTACTTGTCAATCAAACAGTCTCTTCCTATCTAAGTGGGTGGTTCTTGGCCAGAAGGAGCTGCAATGTGGACTAGACTACTCACAGGAGTCTGGATCATCATGGCACGCTGGTCTCTCATGGTTCTGACGATGTCTAAAGGATACACCGACTGACCAGTTTCTATCAAACACATCGCTGTCTCCATGGTGATAAGCACCCCGGTCCGACCAATCCCAGCGCTAGAAGAAAAAGGGGTGGAGTTAATAAACATTTTGTTCACCATTATGGTGTATTTTTCAGCTTATGAGATCTTGATTGTGGATACTGTCAGGACATTTTTTAGGCATGACCTGCAATGAACCACTACAGGTTCTGATGCATCCGCTCTTTTGCTGCGTACTTGACTGACAAAGTTCAAGAAGTCTGACGAATCCTCTGGAACGCCGTGATCGGGCCATGCCAAGTACTGCATCTGACAAATCTGCCTTTCTTCTTTACTCTGAACACAAATCCAAACTGATATTAGCACAGAAATCTATTTACACTAAAAATAAGAAACATTTAAAGAGATAGGTCACCTCCAAGTGTGTAAGCATCAAATCTCTGAGCAGGTATGCTGAGTTCCCTTCCTCTGACACACATGTAACCTGAAAGCCTCCATAGGTGCCACTTGCCGAAACATTTGGCCAATATTGATGACATTTCACCTAAAACAGAAAATGTCAAGATATATCATATCTTGGCAAAATCACTGATGGAATTCAGAACACAACCACGTGGAGGACAAAAGCAAAGCAAAAAGTTACAAAAAGGCATTTTCATATCATTTAACTTCCATAAAGTGATGTAATATGATGTGTACATATTAAAAGACAAGTAATGTAGGGCGGGACTTGATTTATCTGTCAGGATTTGATTGGATTATTTGGCTTTGGAATGCACAAAGCCAAAAATTAATTGGTTAATATTTAGGCCCGCCCTCAATGTCATGGTTATATTAGCAGAAAGGAAAAGCAGTTTATAAATGTTCACATTTTGATTATAGAAACAAATAAGAAAATTAGATCAGATTATTAAAGGTATTTAAAAAAAATTTAAGAATAACAAAGCAATGAATCTGACACATATGTATGACCAGGGAAGTAATTTATTTGTAACTTATTAAATTCATTCATGACATTATGGAATTTACTAAATGTATTAAATTGACAATTGTTGATGTTGACTAACTATAGTTCATTAAAAAAAAAATTGTATATAGAAACAAAGGATTTTTAAAACTTGAAACATTTCTTACAGAAGTTTGTATTATTTTATTCTATTATGTTGTATTTCTATGAATTTTATTAATTATATATATATATATATATATATATATATATACATACATACATACACACACAGTGCACAGCATAAATGAGTACACCCCCTCTGAAACTTAAATTCAGCAATTATTCTTTGCTTAGAAGACATGCTATGGTTTTTTTAGAGATATAATATTCCAGCAAGTCTGCTTGATCAGTTACCAAAGAAGAATGTTAAAATTATTCAAGAAAATAATTTTTTTTTATCAAAGTGATAAAATGTTGTGTTGCAAAAATGAGTACACCCTCCTGAAAGTTACTAAATAAATACAAAATTAATTAAAAAAAAAATTCTGGTGTAAGGTTAAGGCAAGTATGTTGAACCAAAACTGTTAAAGGTAAGTAATTTCTTGATAATTATGTGTTATATAGCCCACTGAATCATACTCAGACTTAATGCTGACAACAATGAAACCATGTGAGAGAGAACTGTCAGGAGATTTATTTCTTAGCATAATAGAGGACAATGGTACAAGAGGAATACCAAATTAT